CCTTAAGAGCCTAATTGCTGTTTCCCACCATGTTAGTCTTTTTTTTTCCAACTCAACTTTACCCACAACCATTACCCTGAGCCTGGTCCACATAAGTGAAGCCCATTGCCAGGATCTTGTGAGCACAAGTTGATTCAGCTTTGAGGCACATATCAAAGAAGCCGCCTGGTCTTGTTTGGATTAAATCACAGCTTTCACTGTCATCCCCGTGTTTGTTTTCTCCTGGCTTGGCTACTGCAACTCTGTCCACACTCGTATAAACACAAAGTTACTCTCTCGCCTCTGCCTCATTCAAAATGCAACAGCTGGGGTTTTATTGGTTTTGGTGGACTGCAGAGCTTCACCCCAGTGCTGACTTCTGTGCTTTGACTATCTGTAGGTTTATAGAGTCAACTTGTAAGATTTTGCTGATCCCTTTAAAAGTACATCTGGGTCTGAGCCTGAGATACATACCAGAGTGTCCATCCTCCTGGGTGGTGACTGTGCTTTTGCTATCAGGGCCCTCGATTTTAGAACAACCTGCCTGAGGAGATACGACTGATGAAATCAGTAACCTCCTCCTTTAAACAACTTCTTAATTCATGTTTTCATAGACCTTCTTTTATGTGATGTCATCACATGTGATGTATTAACAATCTGTTAATCAATGTTGATTGGGGCTTAATGTTTGGCTGTTTGAAATCACCCTCTGAGTGTTATATGTATATGTATATACTAGGATGCAGACTTTTATTTTGAAAATTGCAAACAGTACTGACCCAGAATTTCACAATCGGTGCACGCCTGGTGTGTCGTCTCCCTCAGGCTCCAGCTGGATTAAGAGGAAAAATCCTGATGATTTATTTTTTGGTTTGGAGGTCCCAAGCTCTAATCAGAGGCACGCCACAGCACAGTAAAACCCACAGTTTGTGGTATTTTCTGAGACTACAGATGTAAATGAGTTTTTCTTCCTCTGATTTGCATGAAGCTGAATCAGATCTGATGTGTGGCTGTTTTGACGTGTCGAGAAAGCAAAAGAAAGTCCTCTTTGTTGCCGAACTGTGAATATTGTTAAAAAGAGGATATGCGCTGGCTGTTTGTGTGGAAATGTGAGTTAAAGATCTGTTTTGCTGTCGAGAAAAAGACAACTGATTGAAAGCGTTCAGAGGAAATTCTGAGGCTTGTGGTAAAACCTTTGGTCATATTAGTGTTCAAGATCAATGTGACTGACCTTTGTTAAAAAAAGGAGATTAAAAACCATTTTATTGGGAGTGTGATGAGCAAATGTCATAACTGTGAGTTTATGTCATGGATAGAATTTGGCTTTTCTAACTGCTGAGGTTTGATTTAGACCTGATGGTTGTTTGAAAGACTGGATATTTGCCAGATTATTTGATGTTGTCTTTAAGCAAAAAATACACAGATTTGCAAAAATGTTTCCAAACCAGTGAATGGTTAATGTCAATAAGAATTATATGCAGTGATTTGCAAATGACCCCCAAACAGATGGTGGTTCCTCCTGTGCATGGTTCTGCTCGAGTTTTGGGGTTTTTTTTGGCCGACTATCTGAAAATACCAGTCAAAGAAAACCCTTGGGCTTCTCTTTATAAGGTAAAAATGAATATCAAAACAGATTATATCTGAACTGAAAATGTTTACACATTATTACACCGATGGACAAGCTGTTTGTGTGCATTCTCTCCATATTTTGAGCATCTAAACAGGCGTGTTTTCCAACACATACTGGATAGAACCAAGTGGCAACCACTTGGGACAGAGATATGAAGTCCAAGTAGAAGCGCCAAAAACTGTAGTGCAAATGGCCACTTGAGGCTGGCTCAAAAAGCGAGTCAGCCCCCATAGACTCCTGTGTTAAAATGCCCAGATTTACAGTACAAATAAACCTGCTTTATCCCTTCATAATGACACACACACACACACACACTCGTTTTCATATCTTAGTGAGGACATCTCATTGACATAGTGCTTTCCCTAGCTCCTTACCCTAACCATCAAAATTGAATGCCTAACCCTAACCCTCAGCCTAAACCTAACCATAACCTAATTGTAACCCTGACACTAAAACCACATTTTGAGCCTCAAAAATACCGTCAAACTCCTGGGGATGGACATTTTTAAGATAAGATAAGATAAGATAAGATAACCTTTATTAGTCCCACACGTGGGAAATTTGTTTTGTCACAGCAGGAAGTGGACAGTGCAAAAGTTATGAAGCAAAAATTAGAGTACAATAAGAATAAATACAGTACACAACTGTACAGAATAGAATAAAATAAAATACTATATACAGTAGAATAAAATAGAATAAAATATACAATAAGATAAAAATAGAATACAAATGCTATATACAACTGAGTAAAAATACAACGATGCCAGAAAAGATTATTGCACATTAGTGTTATTGCACGTCCCCATAACTGACTGTTGGTCCCCACAAGTATAGTAGTTTCTGTCCTCACAAAGATGTCTAAACATGTACACACATACATGCATAAGCTAAGCATAAATTACACTATTAGAGTCATTTAATGTAATTATCTTATAAACGATATGACTAATATAAAAAGTTAAAATTGTATCACAGCCATGGAGCCAAATTCCTGCAAATTTGGCAGAGATGCATAATTCAGTGCCAGCTGATGTCGCCTGATACCCCTCTGTACATCCTGTTGGTAAATCTTATACATAACATTTTATTTAAGCTGTTCAACATAGGGTTACTGGTACCTCTGCATGCCACTTTGCAACCTCACCTCCACCCTCAGCTTGTTTCAGGCCATTCATGCTATCTTTGACTTTATCAATAGCACAGCCATTGTAATAATACATGCTCTGCTCTGTGAGTAGGTGGTACTACTCTCACTGCCTTCTGGCTTTCCATTTAAAGCCACACAACCAATTAGAGACGACTACAGATGGAATAACAAAAGTATCATCAGCACTAATTAGCAGGTTCTGTGTTAGTGCCAGTCACCCCTGCAGTCTGCGAAGGCTCATAACGTAGCACTGCACCCTCATCAGTATATGGTTACTTCTGCCTTCCACAAAACAAACCCCATAACAGCGAACTAATTGCTGACCGTGTCTGTTGTAGGCGGCCTGTGAATAAAACCGTTTGAATGTTCAGCATTGGAAGAACACTTTTTGTGCTGCTTGAAATTTTATCTTTAAATAGTGAATCTTTCTTCTCGTTTCGGCTGTATAGTAAATCATGTTTCAGGTTAAGTAAAGGCGGAGGCTGTTTGTAGCAGTAGTGGGAGAGCTTGAGGAAAGATCGTGGATTTATCCTCAGGAGAAGAGGAACGAGGTCTGAGCCGTGATTATTTAACAGGAATATTTTCCACTTTGACAGAGTGATGCAACCTGAAGACACAGAAGGACCCGCAAGATTGAAACCAGTTTGACACCAGTTTAAAACTCCACTCTGTCATAAAAACCAAACAACCCACCAGAGGTTTGAGTCGTTTCACAGCGTTGCCGTGGATACCGGTTTGTTGCCATGGTGATGTTACTACAGGCAACTACAGTTTGACCGCCAGATGAAAAGTGTGAAGCAGCAAAAATATTTTATTAATAACTTCAGAGAGAGAAAGAGAAACGGCGCAGAGAGTCTGCAGGGCTGAGCCTCACCTGCTCAGGTGTATTTCACATATTTAAGATTTTTTTTTTCTTTTTGGGGTATGAAATAGATCCGTGTTTCTCCACCTTAATCTGAGACAGTCATGGTTCAGTTCTGCTCTGAAACTCGGGCGAGGTTTTCTGCTGCAGGGGAGAAAGTGGAAATAAGATGCAATCATAGCTTTGAGTTTTGTATTCAGACAGACCGCTGACTTTCTGTGGGCGGACGCTGAAGCCAAGAAGACATTCTTTAGTGGATTTCAAATTTTACAGTGAAGTTCAGATCTGGGGTCAGCTTCTGCACAATTCAAAAATCTACAATATTGTCTTGTTTCAGTTTCTCAGAGGGTTTTATTTCATTTCCTTTTTCCACCAGATCGCCGCGTAAAGGGAATATCTTTACGGTTTTTACAGATAAAACAAGAAAAACAAGTTTTGTCTG